CTTTTCTTAAAGTCAAGGTAAGAGAGAAGCTATGTCTTTTTTAGCCTTCCAAGAAGAAATGAGTCAGACCACATTTACCTTGTGTCCAGCCAGTCCCACCAAGAAACTGTTAATAAAACTTTTAACTAAACTGTTACAACTTTCTCCTTCTCACTTTCCTTGTCTTCCTCTAGATGCAACCCCTCTTAGTTCTACCTAAAATCTCGAAATGTGGTGAAGATGCCTGATATTTTCTTCATAAGCAGCTCCTGCCCCAACCCTGGAATTCCAAGTCCAAATTAATCTGTAGTTTGGCTCAGATACTCCTCTTTGAGAAGGATTCCAAACACTGCAGTATATATTTGTCAAAGCCTTTTCCCCTCATAGCATGGCTACTGAAAATGAAACTCTCCCAAGGAAGCCACCCCCTCATAGAGCAGCCTTCCAGGAATGGTTCTTGGATGGATGAAGCAGCAAGTGTCTGTCTTCACAGCCTTATGCCATCAATGACATATGAGTGAGCACTGAGTTCAGAATTCTTCTCAGCACATGTCTGGCTGTGAAGAGAGTAAGCCAGAGTCCAGTCCCTGGTATTACAGAAATTAGAAAGAACTGTAGACAGTCAGAAGACCTGGCTCTATGACTTTGAAAGCCATTTGTCTATAAGTGAATCACTCAGCTTTTTCTGCCCGTTTTACATTCAGTGTAACAGGATGACATCCAATCTGCTTCTATCATAGAGCTTGATGTGAGGTTCAAATGAGCTAATGCATATGAAAGTGGTTTGTAAACAGTAATGCATCATAAAAATAATATGCATGTTATTAGAACTGGTCTTCTCACCACCCTCAGGCTTCTGCTTAAAGCAGCACAGCATTATCCGTGCTCCACACTGATGTCAAAAGCCCCTATTTCCAGCTTTAGTGGTCATTTTCCCAGGTGACTAGGAGGAAGGATCTTGGCAGGAAAAAACAAAGCAAAACTTGGCACTTCTTTTCTTCTAGGACTTTAAGTACATTGGCTGCTATTTTTGTGAATTTGGATTTCTGTATCTTATAATTCAATTTCAGACTCCTATAAGACTCTGGCAACACTTAATTCTGATTTTGGAAGGAATTACAATGTACATTTTATTATTCTTGCCCACCCACTTTGGGTCTTAAGATGGAAGTGATGTTAACTAGCAAGGCTGATAATTTGTATGCTTTTTAAAGATGATTTACATTTGCCATTTCCCCAGTGGCTTCCTTTCTTTCTATTCATGATCCAAGTTTTTCTCAGAATCGCATCAAGGGAATGAGAAAATTACCTGTAATTCTTGTTGTCTGATCTGAGACTGTCATAACAGCTCACTATTCTAGGAGTGGAAACATCAGGAGCAGGCACCTGGTGAGGGTTCCTAACTTCACCTTTCTTTCTTACACACTGTTTTCCCTGTTCTGGATTCTGGTAAACCAGTCCCCAGGGTCACAGTCAGACTGCTTGGTGCCTCATCACTGCCAGCCCCAAGGGAGTAGGAGGGATCTCACCAGGATATTTGAAGAAAAAAATTCCACAGCCCAAGGAAGCCTCAAGGACAGCTGTTTGGGCTGCAGCAGAGGTATGATCCAGAACACTTCCCAGTGCATCTGATCACAAGGACTCTCCCATAATGCACATTCCAGCATAAATCCTGGCTCCAGATTCACCCAATCTCCAAGGCAGGACCTAACAACAATGCCTTTAACAGTAGCAGCCAAGTAATTCTCATGGCCAGGCAATTTTGGAAAACACCAATCCAGTAGGAAAGTCCTATAGGGTGGAAGTCTACAGACCTAACAGGTTTGTGACTTTACTAATGGGAGTGACAGTTTCTCCATCTATTAAAAAAGGGGGGTGAATAACAACGAATGTGTTACTTCAGACTCTCTTGGAGGCTATGTAAGATCTAGTCAGATTTTTATATGAAGTTTTGCAGACAATTAGAAATATATAGAGATGTGACTCTGTGCCTTGGGCTTGGGTGGCAGCCCCTTCCCATTCTAGAGAGCCCAGGCTCACGCCAAGTACAAAGTGAGGGTCACAAGAAAGGAGATGAGAGGCCCACCCTTCTGCAAGACCTGCTTGTATTAGTGAAAGTGGAAGCAACACCTCAAACTGAAGGACTGAACTCCTGGAGAAGCAGATGCTGACCTGGGTGGAAGAGCCAACTTGCACTGCCAGGTCCATACCAAATGTTCCCATCTTCCTAATGAGTCTTCTATGCATGGCCTAGATAAGTAGTCCATCATCCACCAGGGGACACCTGCTTCTACACTCCCTCCTCCACCGCATCCCTGACTCAGCTGTGACTCACAGGCAAACACAGCAGCTTCTGCATCATCCTTCTGGGCTCCCTGAGGCTCATTCCTCCCTGTTCCAATTCACCTCTTTTCAGTTCAGACTTGAAGACTGGCTTTTCAGATCTTTAAATGGAATGAATGGACAAACACACATACACAACACTTAAATATCAAAATATTCCCATGTAAAATTTAAAAAGACTAAATCTCTGGGTTTATTATAATTTATCCATAGCACTTCTTCCTGTCATATGAATAAAATCTCCTAATTCTTTCTTGGGCATGTCTTATTTTCCCTCATAAATTGGAGAATCCCAATGGACAAAGACCATGTCTTACACAAGACTTATTCTATACTCTAATAAAACCAAGAAGGAAGTTAGCATGTATAGGCACTTCCTACGCAGGACACACTATTCAGAGAAGCAACAAAGGAGCATGTAGAAAAGTCAGGGGTAGGGAGGATAGCTAGCCTAGCTTTGTCTATTCAACCTTATCTTCTGTCTACATTCCCCAAAACAACTGCTTTTTCTCTCTACTGAAGGCCTGAAAATCTGAGTGATTCATGCAGCCCTACAGAGAACAACCTGGTTCCACCCCCACCCAGGTTATTTCAATAGCCTACTATTTTCTTTGCATTTTTTATTGTCAGTCTATAGTTTTGTTGTCTTTGGAATTGCAGGTTTCCAATTTTAATAATTCTTTCCCATTGCTCCTCTCAACCTTCACCAACATCATACATGCTCCTGGCTTTAAAAAGCAATATATTTGGTCTCTGCAGCTGGTGCTATGGGGCTCTTTGGTGGTGAGAAGCCTAACACAGTGCTCAGTATAAAGTGATAATAACTACTGCAGCTATCTAGTATTCTCCAAAATTGCCTGAGCAAGTTGAAATCCAAAGCTGGTGACTAAGAAATGGTGTTTTTCAAAATCATACTGATTGGGGCCCAACAGATAGACCAGACTTAGGCTTTCTGAGGCCAGGGACACCAGTAGATCTAAAACTCAGCACCAGGATTATGGCTTGTGTCTTCTAGCCCTTGGACATGCCAGCACTGGGCTGAACTGTCCTCCTGGTTCCTCTAGGGCAGGTCAAGGCAACCCTGAAGTCCTTAGTAGGACAATTCTCTTACAAACAATGATAGCAGCTCATTCCTCTGACTTTCCCCCAGCAGCTTCTTTATAACATTGCACAAGTAGGACTTATTTTTGGAAATGCCATGAAATAAAATGGATACTAATGGAATGGTACTTGGAGTTCCAGTCAGGAAGCTCTGGAGATGACCAAGTTGATGCTGGCCAGTCTTCTTCAGAGGTTGTATATAGATCCATAGATAGGGAATTGACCACTGCTGGATTAGGGGATAGAAAAGTCAAGCATCATCATCCTCCAGTGATTTGACCCAAACAACATACCATCATGGGGTGAAAAGTTTTGACGGAATGTCCCACAGCAAAGTGGAAAGTTGTGATTAAAAAGTCTGTCAGAGAATTTGGAGACTGTGAGACTCCTACAGTTGATGGGAATAAGGGATTCAGGCTGAACACTCCAACAAGAAGAATTTTGTCCTTGAAGAGAAATAAACATAGAGGGTGTGCCAACTTCTTGTGCTTCCAGTAAGAATCCAGTTTGGGATGGGCTCAGCTAGGCAGTTCTGTTGGTCTTGGCTGGACAATCATGTGTTTGCAATCAGCTGAGAGTTGATAAGCTGTCACATATAGTGGAATGGGTAATGAGGCCCTTTACTCTCATCATGCAAAAAGATGGTCCAAGCTCATTCACCTGGTGGTGGTTGCAAGATTCCCAAGAGTAGCAAGAAGAGGACAAACCCTATGGACAAGAATTTTTCAGGTCTCTGCTTGTGTCACATTTGCTGTTGAACCACTGGCAAAATCAAATCACATGACCATCTCCGGAGTCAAGGGGTGAAAAAAAAGACTGCACCTCTTGACAAAGAGGGGAGGGCTTACTGTCACTTTTGCAATCTATACAAAGTACCCAATCCAAAGGCTTCTAGTTTGGGATTTAAGCAAAACCTATCATCTAGGCAAAGGTTGGAATAGGAAGCACTCCCTGCTGAGAAAACAATATCCTTCATCTCCCTAAAGGTATCTGTAGTGGTATCCCAGTGAAGCCAAGAGATGCAGGCTCAACATTTCTGGTGTCCTGTGATGGTAGAACCAGGATGGCAGAATAATTCATGGTAGATTAAGTACAAAACCAGAAAAGACTGAGTGGCATTTGTGAGGAAAATGGCTCACATTCAGAATACAGTGAGGGTGTTGGTGTTGCTCACAGTGGTGAGCATAGCTGCCTTCCAAAATACAGTGAGACCATATTTAACTTTCCTCTTACATTCCTTCTCATTCCTTACGCTACATACTGCTTTCTCCCATTTTTCTCCCTCTTCTCTTCCATGTGTGTATTCCATGCATTTATCAAAGGCTTCTGATGACAACCTAACCAGAGTGCAGAGGAAGGCAGAGCTCTTGTACGGCACCAACCTGTGGAAAGTTCAGGAAGGGAGGGAGAGACGAGCCCTTAAGATTCAAGACTCAGATGTTGATACGTACAGCAGAAAGAGAAAAAGCAGTTTTCATCCTTAGGATGGAAAAAGAAATACCACTTAGATAGCTTTCCAAAGTGCTATATTCTGTTTTATCTCAGCCACTCAAGAATTGTGATTCAGAACAGCAAACTGAAGTCATTTCTGTGATTGTCCAGGAGGTCACGGACAGTGAGCTTACCAAAGGCCTTCTGATTTTAGTGTAACAACAGTCACTGACCAGTGACTGGGAAGCAGTGGGGTAAAAGGTATATTTTACCTTGAAGTTATCTTCCCTTGTTAGCAGAAGGCTGTCTTCTATTAGTACTAATGAATTCTTAGGTCTCTAAGCACAGAATAGGAGGTTTAGAAAAGCATACTGTAGGCATAGGCAATTTCTGGAGATTAGTTGTCCAGAGCTAACTCCCTTTCAGTCCTGTCTCCACTAGGGAAAGAGGATGGACAGAATAAACTCTGCAGGTGAGAAACTGCAGGTGGAACGTTTTCACATGCCACTGTTTTCTTGATAAGTTTCTCAAGCTAGTTAGCTGGGCACTGAGGTTTGGAATCAGGCTCCCTTATAGGATGCCTCCCATCCTTGGCCAAAGCAGAGTTCAGCAAATCTTCTAAGGTGGTGATCAGAGAAGGTCCTGGGCCTGCTGGCTCTTGGATTTGTATCTTATCTCAGTAGTTTGTGACTCACTTCTAGTCTTCCAGAGAGATGTCTTGAAAACATCAGACCACAAGGGACATCCTTGTTGGAAAGTCACTCTGGGGAAAAGCAGAAAGAATCCAACATTAAACCACAAACTGCATAAAGAAAGCAAAGAACACAACAGACGGTTCACTAGGCAGAGTCCACAACCTATGCAAAGCCGGGCATACCCTAACTCTAAGGACACTTCGTTAGCTTTGTGATGATTGTTCTTAAGCCTCAGGTGGTGCTGAAGCCAACAGACGTCAGACAGAAGTTAGTTCCGTAGCCACAGAATAACTTCTCATACCCTTAAGGATAAGCCCAGGATTTATAGCTTCACAACAGCAACTTACAGTGTTGAGCCATAAACCTAAAACCACTTGAAAATTTCTTTCCTACTCACAGTAATTTGGTAATTGCATTCTTCTATTTAAAAACAACAAAATTCTTCAACATATTGAACAATATAATAGTTTTTTGGGTGAGTTAATAATAACGTCAAACTTTTCTCTGTTCATATTCCTTCTCCCCAAACTACACACTAAAGAAAATGGTCAGGGCTGGGGATGTAACTTGGAGGTGCAGCGCTTGCCTCACACAAGCAACGTCATGGTTCAGCCCCAGCATGAGGTGGGGGCAGCCCACTCTGGAATCATGAAAAACAAACTGGCAAGGAGGCAAGGTAACTGGACACAGGCTCTTGAGCATGGAGAGTGGTATCCAAAGCATGGTGGCCAATGATACTTTGGCAACTCACAGTGGACATCTGTGACTGTCCTCCGATGTGAGCGCTAAGGGGCAGGGCTCACTTTCAGAGGCTGAGGGATAGAATGGTTTGTTTTGGGGATTTAAAGAGCAAGCAAAAAAAGTCTATATAAGGCCATTTACAAAAGAAATAAGGAATGGGGCAGGGGCCAAATGATTTCTTTCACATGTACAAGCACGGTACACAGTATCTATTAAAAAAAAGAAGAGGAAAGAGGTAAGCTGTCCTTTGTAAACATCAGTAGCTCCTAACCTTTGGAGGAAACCTGATGCAAGCTACAAATCCTCACCCCAAGGGGGCAGGAGATGGGGAGTACATGAAAGTATGTACAGAACATTCTGCACACAGACCACAGAAGCCCAGGTAAAGGCCTGTAGTAGTGATGGCACCTGAAATCCCCGGTGCTAAATGCTTTATAAAGCTGGTTGTTACTTGACTAAATGACCTCTGTAAAATCATCTATACACCATCCTCCTTCCTCCTCCTCCTTCTTCTTCTTCTTCTTTTTTTTTTTTTTTAAACTTTCCAGGGACCCCGCACTTACTTCTTTCACCTGACCCTGGATAGAGTTGGTTGAAAAGAACCCCAGCCTAACATCACTGGGCAGATTTTTTTGAAGCAGGACAGCAGGGCTCCCTTACCCTGACTACCATCTGGCATTTCTGGGTCGGGGGCCCTTGCACCCTGCCCTTCCTCGCTGCCCCAGCCCAGCCCAGCTCAGCCCTTGGTCAGCACCCGGTGCAGCCTCACAGTTTTCTTGGTGGGCTCCTTTTTCCTCCTCTTCTCCGAGTTGCTGTGGTAGGGCAGGTCGCGGCTGCGGTACGACGGACCTCGGCTCAGTTCCAGCTCGCTGTAGGGCGGCAGTGTGTCTTCGGGTGCATCCTCTTCGTCGCCGTCCGAGGCGCCCGCCTTGTAGGTGGCCGGCGGGGACCAGGCGTAGTAGGAGGCGCTGCGCTGGCTGAGCTGCGCGCTCAGCTTGGACGGCGTCTCCAGGCTGCCCCCGCGGCTGGCGCCCTCGGGCCGCGGCTGGCGCTCCAGCACGCTGCTCAGGTACGAGTGGTCGTACTTGGGCGCGGTGCCGGGCGTCCGGCTCACCAGGCGCGGCAGGTGCGCATCCTCGGTCGGCCGCCGGCGCGGGGGGCTGTAGGACCAGCCGCGGTCCGCGTCGGTCAAGGGCTCGCGACTGCGGCTGCGCTGGCCGTAGTATTCCTCCAGGGAGCCGTCCTGGTAGAAGACCCCGTGCGCCCGCGACTCGGCGCGCTCGAAGCGGCTCCCGCCCCGGGCCTCGAGGCTAGTGCCATTGGCGCGCCGGGGCCGCTGGCCGTAGGAGTCCGCGAAGGCCGCCAGCTCGTCCATGGACACGGCTGGCACCCCCGTGGCGAAGTTCTTCCTGGACAGCATCTCTGATTTGGAGCGCTGCTGGCTGCGGGCAGAGGAGTCATTGGTTAGTGGACTGAACTCCTGCCGTGCGCAAAGCAGGGAGCATGAGTTCTGGGGCTTGGGTCCACAGACTACTGTCCCAGGTCTAAGCTTTGCGTCAGGCTGGATTAATTATCTTGGGCACGTCTCATGTCTCATAATGTCAAGTGAGACAGCAACCGTGTATATATCTTAGGAGTTTGTCTGAAGGATCAAAATGGAGTTGTGCCCCTGAAAATACTTGCTTATCTGTTAAGTGCTGAAACATGCGTCGGGGCCTTTTTCTGAGCAGTAGGATATGACCTCTGATTGACAAAACACCACCCTTAAAGCCAGAGCAAGTAGCAATGCACATAGCTGTGGCCCAAGGAGACTAATATTTGTTGACACACAGAGAGACCTAGTCTTCTCTCAAAGCCAAGGGCCAAGTTCCCTCTTTAAGGCAGGAGGCAGAGGGACCGCTGCAGTTGGAAAGAGAAAGGCAATGTCTACTGTTCTTCAAAGTTAAGGAGAAGTAAATGGTGAACGTGTCAGTCAGGGGGAATGGTCACATACACTGGATAAAACTGCAGCCTGCCCTAAATCATTGGTCTTATCAAACTAGGTAAGTTTCTGTCTCCCCATCATAAAATAACAGCTCCCTTTTAGAACTATGAGAATTAGATACAATATTATAAAGTGATGGTCTTTTACCTTTCACATAACAAATGATCAAAAATGATGGAGATGATGGATAGGTGGGCATTTTTATGGGTTACAGGATAAACTACATGAAAAGGGCAGAGATAATGACAAGATTCATTAAGGAGCCTTGGTGTATTTCAAAAGGCCTTGAATGATTACTTCCACTCATAGTGCCACAAGGGCATAATAAACTGAGAAAGGGACATTCCATAGCCTATACAAAAAGATGTGGCAGAATAACCTAGAATGGGAGAGCGATGCTATCAGGTAACAATAGCCTCAGGTTTAACCTGCCTTCTGGCTCCTGCCCTCTCAGGACCATCACCTGTGCCTAAAGCTCTCCTGATCCTCTTTTTTATACTCCATGGCTGAAGGCCCCCGGCTGGCCCCACTGCTGCCTGCCATGACACCTGACCAGTAGTCAGTGTTGCTCTCCAAGTCCCCAGACACAGGGAACTGCTTGCTTCGCATCTGATGGTAAGACTGGCGGAAACTGGTGTCCTCTTCATGCAGGGAGCTGAGTTCAGAGATGGCGTTGTTATCTGCAGGGACAAAACCAAGCATGACAGAGCACTCTACATTAAACGGGAAGGGAGTTCAGTAAGGGCTGAGACCAGAGGCTCTAGAAATTCCTGCCTGAAGGCCTTGGTCTTAAGGCTATCAAGACCTGCGCTATTGGTATTATGTTCCTAATTCAGCAGGAACTGGCTTTGGTTCAAACCCAACATGCTTACAGAGAGGGCGGCTTCCTACATACTCTGTTCTTGGAATAGGAGGACAATTGTTTTTGTTCTACCTAAGGCAGCCTTCCCAGAACTCAGGCTTTCCGCAGCTGGCCTCCTAGTACATCATCATCCTTACTCAAATGTTTTTCTTTGTCTTGCATAATGCTATAATGAGCCATGATGGTCCCAGGCATGTCGGACCAAAGGGGACCAAGAGGAAAGCCACCGATCATACCATCCACCCTACTGGCCCAATCTCAAAATGGGGCCTTGACGGCCAGTATTGCCACATGCATTAGAAGAACCTCATTCTGCCCTCTTTCAGCTGTGTTCTTCCCAAAAAGCAAGAAGTTAAGGTCAAGACCAAGTATACCTCCCTTTTAGACTGTGCTCACCTAGGAATCTGTAATAGCCTGCTCAAGTCCACTTCTGAGGCCTGGGTAGGCCTCTTTCCCCTCCCAAAGAATATTCCAGGTGTGTCTAACCATGAGTGGCGAGACCAGGTGTTTGGAGGTAAGAAGAAAAGCAGGGTGGGCTGCCCAATGGCCTATGCTACTTGTGCTCTGGTGCCAGCCTAAAAATGCAATGGGGGGTGTTTAGCCACAGTTTTCTCATTTCCTAAGTATATTTTTGCAGAAGCACTTGTGAACAAGGATTAGAATCACAGCCTGGAAAGAAAAAGGAAAAAAAAGGAAAGTTCTATTTATTTATAGAACTTTCAAATGTATTGAATTTCATTTTATTTAAAAAATAAACCTAGTGAATCTATTTGCAACGTAACTGAATCCATTCGTTTTCCAAGTCTTTTAAGACATCAAAAATATTATTAAAAACAACAGTTAAGATTTAAACAGCAGCTAGATTTAAGGCCTAGCTATTGAGCAAGCGGGAAGCCAAGATGTGGAAAACACAAATATGTGTCTTAGGTTCCATTCTGCTCCCCCGCCAACTCCCAATAGTCAGAGGAAGAACATAAGTTTTACTAGGGTCTTTATACCCACCATAAGTACTCCTCCCAGTCCTGTCTCACCAGGGACACAGCATTTACCATGAATGCCATTCAGTTTACTCATATGATCAGTTGGTTTTCAATTATAATCTAATTTTTAAACTTTTCTGCCTCTCAAGGACAATGGTCTATTTTAAAGGAAAAATAACTCAGATTCTATTAATGAAATCTGGAACATTCCCTCCTGATTCCTATGAATTCCAATTTCCTAGGAACCATACAGAAAAGAACTCTAAAATGCACCCAGTTAGACCATTGAACAACAATATTGTTGGCTCAGAACTTTCATTAAACTTCAGGGAATTCCCAACTCTTTTCCATTTCTCTAGATAGTAAGGGCTTATCACTGTTCAACCATTCGTAGTATAAACTGTTCAGGACGTATGTTACACTAAAGTTTCTGCCAAGTTGAGGACCAACATCAACATAAGGACCAGGGAATAAATGTTTCAGATCTTGTGAGCCACAGTGCTGTAACTATTCAATTCTGCCATCTTGGCATAAAAGCAGTCATAGAAGATAATAAGTGAATTGGTATAGCTGTGTTCTAATAAAACTTTATTAACAAAAACAGAAATTGAAATATTTTTGGCTCAAGGGATATTCTTTTTTCTGACCCTTGCTCTAGAATTCACAGACTAACATCAAGGAGCAACCCACCACTATAAGGACAAGGCAAAGGAAGTCAGATTGTCTAGCAAATTCATGAGCCTTCAAAGGACTTCAAACTTGCAATTCTCATAGAATCTATGTCTCCCCTGCCACAACCTGAAACCATCAGATCCATTTTATAATACAATTTTTCAAAATTGTCCCTTGCATGATCTACTCTAGAGTTTACTTGCTCTTTAGGATCAGAACCAACCTCTCAAAGTAGAGTGAACTATATTCCGGCTTCATTCTGGGCAGTTATTAATGCCAACTTGTAGGTGCCAGGTGATCTGGGTTCCAGTCCTGGCGCTAATTCTGAGTACTGGGGCTGGTTACTTTCCCACCCTGTCTCATTTTTCTCCTCTGTAAAATGAAGGAGGTATATTCAACAACCTCAGAGTCCCTTCCAGTTCCAGTGATCTAGAGCCCTATAAGCAAGAAGGCCATGGTCTCAGGAGAAACTATAGCCATAGAGCCACCTGCAGTGTGCTTAAAAGTTTCTTGTGTACACATCATGTTAGAAATAAAGTCAGTGGTGATCCATTTTCAAGGCAAAGCATTTGACCATTGTTTGCATATCAGCTTACAGATGTTGGGGGTGGGGCAACTGATACCAGATCTTAAACTGGGAGGGGTAAATCACATAGGTAAAAACTATGTATGTGCAAGAAGACACATAGCACAGGGAGACTTTCCTGCCACAGGAAGAGGTGGATCACACTTCTAAGAGATGACCATTCCTAAGAGAGGCATATTTTAAAATATGCCAATAGGAATTAGGTGACATCCTGGAAAAGAATGTAAACCCCATAGTGCTGAGCCAATGAGGAACCAGGGAAGGGACCTCCACGCTAGCAGTACATGCTTATTGTAACTGCTCTGGGTGTGCCTGGTTCACTACACACCCAATCTTGCAAGATTATCATTAAAGTCCCACTTCTGCTGTACTACTGGGTCCATTCTTTGAGTTTAGACAGGTGAGCATATTTTTCACAGATCATGCAACTGGGAATTAGGAAAGTTGCGTTTTGTTCTTGTTCTGTTACTGTACCCCTCTGGTCTTCTGTTCCCTCATCTGTATACTGTGCAAGTAGACATTAGACTCTCTCTAAGGTCCCCTTGGACTCTTAAGATTCTACTACCTTATGACCACCTGGCCCCTGGAGACAATTTAATCATGGTGGTCAGACAGGAAACATCACCTAAACTAGAATCCATTCTTTACTTTTGATCTTACTTGCTATCTTTTTCTCTGTGCTCTGATATTCACAGATTTCCTGCCCAGGCTTCCCCTTGATTTCTGACTCTATCTCTGGCCCCTTAGAAGGATCCATGACAACACTGTTACAACTAGCTTGTCAAGTGCAGTGACATCTGCATTCCTGACATTCCAATCTGGAGATGGTCTTTTTATAGTCAGTGCAGTGGGAGGATGCAGCAATGGATGCAACACAGACAGGATGAATTTAGAATTGCAAACTGGGTGGAATATGTTGTCCTTAATCTGAATAAAGCTCCTCTAGTCTGGGACTGTTTCCCCAACAACTCCATCAAGTCTCTCATTGGTTCCAAAAAGAGGAAGGTTCAAAGAAAATGTGGAGTGACCTCACTCCCATGCCTGCCAGCACCCTCTGATAATTAGCCCATCCACGTTAGGCCTGCCCTGTTCTGCCTCTCATGATAGACAGTAATTTGGAACCCACCCTAAAGAATCAGCTGTGTCAGCTGTAGAGTCTCCAAGGGTTTGGGTAAGTTAAGGGTTGGGGCTCCACCACCTACAGACTTAGTAATTAAAAGGTTCTTTGACAAAAGGAGCAGCCTCTTTGCTCACCCCTCAATCTTTGTGGTTGGGTATCTCAGAGGAATGCCAGCCTCTTTCCTCCAGATTCATTTGCCAGACTTATTCTTTCACTTTCATTGAGGTCTCCATGTGGCAAGTCAGCAGATGGGCTGTTCAATGCCAAAGCCCTTTGTGTTGGAAAAACTAGTACTAAAGCTCACACGTTAAGTCATTGTTTTGGATATCTCTTAAAGGAGGGAGCAAAGGGAAACTGTTTTAAGGAAACATTTCAAACTCCAGGATTTCATACCCACAGCAATCAGTACTGACTGCCCCAGGAAAGACACATCAAGAACCAAGGTGGTACTTGACTGCTCCACCCTTCACACCAGGGGTCCCTTTTGCTCTCTTCTGTATACTTGGTGTTACTAGCACCCCTGCTGGTTCTGACCTTGCAAGCTCAGAGCTGCCAAGTTTGATAACACCCAAGTCCTCTTTGACTACTAAGTCCTGCGTGATGCACAGACCACATGAAAATAACAGATGCTTACATCTGCCTCTCATCCTTCTGGCTGGATCAAACTGAGCCAGCTCCTTCTCGACATAGTACAGGACCTTCATGGAGTCTCTCTCTTTATCAGCTTGGATCCGGTAACCTTTGCGAACTGTTGAGAAAAGCACAAGAAAGTGAGCTAGAAAAAAGGCAAATGTCAGGAAAAGGAGGTCTCCATTCATTTTTATCAAGTAGAAAACAGTAACAACTCATGTTGAAGTCACCCAGAAATAATAATCTATTCTTATTCACAGGGGGCTATACCTGAGATTCCCCCCTATTGGAGGGTATCACTGGAATGGAGGACCTGAAGGTCAACAACAAAATCCCACTGCATTATATTTTCAGTCATTTACACTCTCCTTCTTCTTCTGACCTTCTGTAACTCCACTTAAAGCTCATTTTCTCAAAGCTTTTAAGTTCCATGGCAAGAGTAGACTCACATTTTAAAAAGATCACTTTCTAGATTGAGGGCACATGTCATTCCATAGTCTGAGGTTCCTACCTTCACCTGGTAGGAACACAGATAATTTTAAAAGATTCCCAAATATCAAGGACTTGACAAAAGTGGCCTGAAAGCCTCTAGTTGCCTGGGAGGTGGCGCAAAACTTCCTTGAACTGTGTGGTGCCTAAGAGCTAATGTTAGATTCTAGAATATACACACGGTAGGACAAAACAAAATGCACAGCACACAGATTTCTAATCATGGCTCCATTTTATTTCTTTAGCATTTTCCTTTTAGGAAAAGAAATACCATATTTTAGACATGATTAATTCAACCTGCTGCTATGTGCTTATGGGCAGGTGGTGTTCTTTTCAGGACTTAATAAAAAGCAAAACTAAAGCAAGGGAGATAATCTCCTACATTTCAATCACTTATACTGTCAGAGCAAAGGGGATTTAAGCTCCAAACCATTTGAATATAAGTCTAGCCCAATGCCAGCCCCCAGGATGATCAGACATCAGAAGGCCTAAGGCACAGATAAGAGAAAGGGGGAAAATGAAAGAGAGAAGGGAATGATGGAATGAGGAAGGGATGACAATGGTAATTAGACATTTATTGGGCACTGACAATGTGCTAGGTACTGTGCTAAATTTGCTCCTCATGACCACTCAAGGAAGAACAGTTATCAGCCATGTTTTGTGGTCAAAAACTTTGGCTCAAAAAGACTGAAACAGAAAGATGGAACAATGGAAATCAGCAAAAGCCCTTCTGACGGGCTAGCAGTTGAGCTGCCCCTAATAATTATAAAAGAGCTCAAAGTGCTCCACTGATTATTCAATTACTCCTTTGTCCAGGAATAATTTGGTAGTGCCAGGGCTGGAACCAAGTAGCCTGGCTGACTGAAGCTTAACTCTATTAGAGTGCCTTGCCTCTCTAGAGTCTAGGAGGAGAGATAGTAAAAAAAAAGTAGATGAAGACAGGACAGGGCTGGGTGCAGTGGCTCATGCCCATCATCCCAATTACTTAGGAAGTGGAGATCCAGAAGATCATGGTTCCAGGCCAGCTGGGAGGAAAAAAATGTTAGTGAGGCCCTATTTCAACAAATAAGCCTGGCATGGTGGTACATACCTATCATCCCAGCTACACAGGAGGTCACAGAGTAGGAAGACTGTGGTCCAAGACCAGCCCAGGCCAAAATGTGACACCCTAACTGAAAAATAACCTAAAAAGTAAAAAGGACTAGGGTGTGGTTCAAGTGGTAGAGTGCACCTGCCTAGCAAGCATGCAGCCCTGAGTACAAACCCCAGTACCACCAAAAAAAAAAAAAAAAAAAAAAGCCAAGAAAGTAAAGCCCAGAGTAAGAAATGTTTTGGGGGTGTGCCATGGGGTGTGTGGTCTGCGGCATGGTCCTGTCTTATGACCAGTAAGGCTCTGCAATGTATGGTGGAAGTGACTGACACAACCCCAACATTCCCTGTTCCTAAAGTAGGGCAAATCCCTAAGGAAAACCCATGACCATGTGTACCTCCAGGCAAAAGCCCTGCTTTATAGTCTCTGAACATGTTACTCTGGCTATGGACAAAACCCCACAAGCTATTGATGTGAAAAATGAAAATAAAACTTTCACAGCGCTCTTATCACACCTAGGCACTAAAGACAGAAGTCACCCACATACTCATTTGCAGGTGCACTGATTTTCCATATAAGAACATACTAGACCTCCATGTCCACTTCAAATTGTGAAATTATTTACAAACAATTAATGAGTCCCAGCACGTACTTTTTAGTGGTACCTTCTCCCAGAGGTTAGATCCGTAATCCTTATGCAGATGCAATTATTAGCAGAAATGATTTTATTTATCAACCTACCATTCTTCCATCTCTGCAGAGGCGTTTTCAGAGTAGTACAGACAGTTCAATTAAAATGCAATTATCCCACCGAACTGCTATGTCTGTACCGAGGCAGTTATGTCTAATGGATAAGGTGCAGGGTTGGGAAATGGGGAACTCGGTATCTTGTAGGCATGTTGCCACTAGTTTACTGAGGAGCCTCCAAAAAAGGAAGACCTGTCAGGACTCAGTGTTTGCATAATCTCTTCAAGAAGAGAGGAAAACCAAGACCAAATCAGTGGAGCTCTTTGAGCTCTCTGTAAATATTAGGGGAAGTTCAACTGCTACCCCAATTCAAAAGGTTTTCTCTGATTTTCATAGTTCTGTTTATGACTTTACATTTCAATCTTTTTTTCCTAACTTACAAGTCATTTAGTTTGAACTTTTATCATGGGCCTTAATATATTCTAATTTGCTTCAAGTTATTTATATAAATGCCTAATCTTCTCAAAGATTCTTGGAGGACAAGAATCCTTATTATTCAGGATCGTCATGTGCCTAGAGTGTGTTTTAGTACAGTAGGTCTTTAATAAATATTTGTTGAACTATTTGCAACCTGGGAATGGGCTGGGTGGGGTCAATGGTGTCTGTCTACAGACTATAAACTTCCTAAAGATAATTGCTAGATCTCTTTGTTCATGTCAGTATCCGTAGCACCTAGCATAGAGCCTGGCACATTATAGACACTGAAAACATTTGTATTCAAATGAATGAATGAAAGCATGAATGGATAAATGAATACAAACTGGAAATAGAATTACATTTTATGGATTACAAAGTATGGCTTATGAAACCATGTGGGTGGTTTATTACAGAATTTGGACCAGAGAAAGGTTTGAATGGTAGCCTGAGGAAACCACAAGGTTTAGGTAAATTTTGTGGTGATTATTATTGATGATCATTTTCTAAGAACACTAGCATGTTTGTAGGCATTAGAAGTGGTCTACTTTACCTGTAGCAATGGCTTTATCTAAGTCTATTTAATAAGTGAAGTGCTTTTATGGTAACATTCAGTGATACTAAGATAAAGGTCATGGGGGGTGGGCTGTTGGAAAAAGGTACTATGTATCAGCTGTCCCCTGGGGGAGAGAGATGGCAGCCATGCTGAGCAACAATTGGAAGATCCTTAGTTAACTGCAACTTGGACTGGAGCTTAGATTGTTTTCTGTATCATTAGAAAAATTACACTACTCATTATGATTCAAATTTGATTGTGTTATCAGGTCTTTGAAAAGTCACAGTAACTTCAAATGAAGTTGGTAGTTTTGGCTTTCAACACTGGCATTATAAAGAGACTTTACCATGTTAGATACGTTCAGCTTTGACTTCTAAGTCACAGCAGCCCATGACTTCAGGGGTTTAAATTCCTTTAATTTGTCAAAAACAACAGACAAAATATTGATCTTTAGACTTTGGGGTCATTATCCATTTTGTTTCAGTAGCTAAAAATAAAGGCAATTCTCCCTTTAAAGGGTTTAGGAGTTTTTATAAATGGTAAGTTATAAGTTTCTACAGCACACTAAATTATTCTCATTCTGATAGAATCTGGCTCTGTGCCACACATGTGCTCAAGAGCATATGAATCACCACAAAACATTTTTGATCCCTTCTCTCCAAAGACATGATTCTCCTCTCTGACCCTGCATCATAGAACCATTTTGTCATATACTACCTCTTATTTCCTACTCATTTTATTTTCATTCACAAGGTCCCAGAAGCTACCCTGCTAGACTATAAATTCCTTGAGAGCAGGAAAAACTTGTCAGTATTTATGAAATGTTTCTTGATTTGAAGACATACAGAGTTGATTTTTATTGGCAATTTGTCTGAAGATCAGAGAACTCTTTGATGTGTATGATGATATTTTAATAAAAATGTCCTAGACTATTGGCCAAAGTACAGCATATCTGGAAAATTATTTTTTCCTGGTAATGTTTCAGTTTAGGGTCAATGGATGATTTATTTCTGTTTTCAAGTTCGTCTAGTCTAAGTCATTTTGTTGGTGTGGCTCTTCATACTTCAGCTCCTCTATTATTGACTTTGCCAACTTTGATTCTGAATTACTCCCTTTGGTGTACCTATAATTTCAAAAACTTATGTTGTTAAAGAATTTGAGCTGATACTTTTGACCCAATTAAGGCTCAACTATTTTTCAGTTAATTTTCCCTTTCCAGCCAAACTCCAACTTACAAGACTTCCAAAAAAAAAAATTCTCTGAGGTAGACTTCCATGGATATAGCCTTGTTCTTCCTGTCCTATCTAAATGAGCTAAGTAAGGCTGTTTATGGATGATGGAACAGCTGCCAGATTCCACCCCCAGGGTGACAGCAGCTCAATTGTGGGAGAAATGACTCTTAAAATTTGCATATTCTCTGTATACATACAGTAGGCATATATATATATAGACACATATCCTTATTAATTTTGAAAATGGCATTTGAAAACCCTACTTGTCTACTCAATTCTTTTGCAAGAAGGATTAGTGGAGTCTAGGTAGATTGAAATAAAATGGATTAGAGCAAGGCAAGTGTAGATATAGAAAGACCAGGCAGGAGATAATTGCATTAAGCAAGGCAAGAGGCAATCACAGGGAGGACTGGGAGTAGAGAGAGAAGAAAATAAGCCAATTTAAGGTTATTCTGAGATAAAATCTGAAGGACTTGGTGACCAATTAGATAAAGAAAGCGAGGGATAAAGAATTTGGATGAAGTCCCTGACTCTGGCTTGGACTGCTAGGGGGACAATGATGCCATCCACTAAGATAATACATGTAGAATCTGGATTGAAGTGAAGAAGCTGTAGATTAATTTACTTTCCTAGAGACCATTTAAGTGTCAGGTGAAATTGTCCTGAGACAACCAGAAATATGAAACTCAGGAATGGAAGAGAGGTGGGAAATAATTGTTGGGAGTCATCAGCATGAAGATGAGGGCTGAAGCCATAGAAGTAGACATTTCCTTGGGAGATTTCCTTGGGAGAGGACCACAGACAAAACAGGAACACCAACATCTGGAAGATAACAAAAGAAGAGCACTCAGCATATAGAGAGATTGGTAGAAAAACAATACAGTGTTGAGAAAGGCAGAGATGATTGGGTCAGAAATGGCAAATGCTTTTGAGAAGTGAAGGGAAGTAAGGACTGGAAGTATCTATTAGATTTAGCAATCAAGCAGTGTTGGCAAGAGCTGGTTTCTGAAGTGGTGAAAAGTAATAGCAAGATGGGAAGTTAGTTGAGGAGTTAAGAGCAGAGGGAATGGAGACATTGAATGTTCAAAATTCTTTCAAGGAGTTTGGCTGTGAAGAGGAGGAAACGGAAGGGAAGCAACATCAGAAGACATTTTGCAAATTGCTGTTGTATTCTAATTGGAGAGATGTGAGCATGTTTCAAATGCTAATAGGAAAAAGCTAATACATTTGTGAAGGTGGAGCTGAAAGGTATGAATGGGGTGGACAGTGGGTATTCAACAGAGAAATATGACAAAGCTGAAGAGGATGGATCCACAGCAACTCAGGCGGAGTCTGTCTTCTTTCCTTGTAGCTCTCAAGTGGCTACTATGAAGAATGGGAGAAGGATTCAGGGTGCCTCTTCTCCTTCTCCAATTAGGTAACCAACTGGCTATACTATACATAGCTCATCAAAGATGCCTTTTTCAACTACATAGTGTTCCAAAGAGTATTGTGTACAAATGTAATCTGAAAAATTACTGTTGCTAGATGATTACTCTAAAATTGAAGTAGCATACAAATATAAAAAGACTAAATTTACATTTTTATAAATCAGCATTTCTTAACATTTTAGCAGTCTTTAAAGAATAATCTACATTGGCCAAATCCACCTTTTTAAAAGGAAAATTAGTCAAACACTATCACTGATGCTGTCTCTAGGACCTTGAATATGGATATGTGCCAATGGGAACCATGAAAAACTCTTTCCTACAATGTAAGAATGTTTGTAAATGACACAATGTATCCCCATACAACAATAAAAAAACAATCTCTTTCCTGACTCCACCAGATACAAAACAATGACATGGGCAAGAGAAGCAGTGGTCAACACTGGTTGCTATCTTTCCTCTGTTTCCTAGCCAACAGAATCCTGATTTTGTACACTTCTAAGGTGAATAGTTGTTTAGGCCTGAAAGGTGAGTTTTGATTAGTTCCAGCCCATCTGGTTTAGGAATGAGCATGGGACATAATTCTTGCCAGTAACAATGCAAGGAGAAGCCTGCTGAATGGAGCTGCTGGAAAAGCTCTTCTCACTCTTGGAAACAGTGGCACAAGGATAAAACATACTTTTACCCCAGATGCTCTTAATACCTGGAACTACCACAACCAACAAAGAATTATGAATGGAACTAGCCAAGGAGGATAGAGGGTATGCCAGATGACAATATGAAAAATGGAAAATAAGTATGTCCTGCAGTGATGTCACCAAACTGTTTGATTAGCCAACTCTGGAACTGCTTTTCTTTGGGAATTCATGTTAAGTGAAATAGAATATTTTCCTATTTTTAAAGTCAGCTCTAATTGTAGGTGGTTAATATGGCAAGATGAAGCCAAAATGATTAAACTGCAGCAAAGCAGAACTGAGCAAAGATTGAAAACGAGAGATAAAGTACTTGCCAGCCTATAAATAGGAATCATTTCATTATGGTAATATATTAAATAAAAAGTAAAGGGGGAGGAGTTTTGCTGATAAGAAAAGAAAAAGAAGATTAGGGAGAAAAGGGAGGAAAGCAGCAAGTACAGAGCACAATAAAAGTTCCATTAATGTCTCTATTGCCTACTCCTTCCTTTGGGGGAATGGACTACGCTGTCTTTATCTCTCAAATTCCCTGTGCATCCTTAATCATTAACTTGTCCTTGTCAGTCTGTGACTCACTCCCAGTCTCAGACGTCAGAATTCTACTAATAGTTCCAGGTAGAGAAAAATACAAATATCAGTTACTCACTGAGAATGGCTACTCCTCCACAGCCAGGCATTGACAGTTTATTATGTAGGCTGGATTCCCTTCCCCACCTCCCACTGAAGGCAGTACAGATCCCTCCAGAGGGAAAAAAACGACTGTTTCACCAACCCCACTGGCTCACCCACATATAAAGATTGAAAAATCACCTCAATCTACTACACATACAATCTTAACCTTCGCTGCCTAGTAATTCTGCAAATGCCTTCAGGAATGATATATTCTAATGCCCCTCTACCTCTACTCTCTACCTCTGCACAAATTCATCATGTCCCAAATGGAGCTATTCTTCACTCAGATCAGTTCTCCTTCCCGGTTACTTCACTTCTATGTATGATCTGCACCACTTGACAATTTGGGACCATCATGAAGTTCCCCTTTCCTTCATTCCCCAACATCTCTCTCATTGCTTCTTTCAAAATAACTCTCAAATTTACCATGCATTTCAACTCTATTGTCTCTATCAAAAGCCAAATGTTCATATAACATATGTGAGCCACATCAATCAGCTCTAAGTTGGTAGTATCTGGCTCCATTCTCTCCCTCTTAACCCTCACCTTGTCATCCTACCATCTCTCCACTCAGGAACCTGCAAGTGGCTACCACTTTCTCACTCCACCAAGCTCCCCCAACAAGTCTGCAGGGGTTGTAAAGCCTTCCCTAGTCTAGCTCCACCAGACATCTTCCATCTTCTCCTAGGCAACAAGTTGGACACTGTCAAACTCACACTGTGTTTTCCCAGCTCTGGAATTTTGTCCTTCCTGTTTGGGGATGCTCTGCATCCCCTACTCTCTTCTCCTAAATCCTACTCATTCTTTCAGTCCCAGCTCAAATCTCACCTCCTCCATAAAGCCTCTGTAACTCTTCCATCTTTGTGCTGAGTATCATACTCTTCAGCATCTAATTGTCTTAATAAAGGTCCATTCTTTCTCTCTGATGAGGCCATACTGCCTGTTAAGAGAAACCCTGTTCTATACATCTTGCTGTCCTTCATAGAACTTAGCACAGTCCTGAACACTAGATAGGAATGAGATAACTGTTTAACTGAATGATCAACATTCAAGAGGTACTTTGCCTCTTTCTTTTACAGTTTTAGTTACTAAGAAGCCTACAGAGGAAGCAGGGGTCAGTGTCATGAAGCTCTTGAAAAGCCTGATACACACTCCAAAAGATATCTGACATGGCTGGAAAGATTCTACTTCCTGAATGGAGATAACCATTTCCTAAAGCTACATCACTGAACTAACATATTTAGCAGCAAGGAACCAGGGTGGAGCCCAAGACAAGCATGGGGCAGGGCAGTCTGAAATTACATTTACCACTGTGGCTTCCTCCAGTGGAGTCACTTGGTGCCAAGGGAGGTGGATGCGGCTTGTCCATCAGCATGCCAGATGAGGGGGCTCCTCCCAAAGGGACAGAGGGGATGGAGTAAGGGCCAGGGACATCGGAGACAGAGGGAGGGTACCCGGCCTTGGCTGCTTTCCCTGCTTCATACACTGTGGAGGGAGATGAAGAGCAAGAGAGATTATGTTGTCCCACCCTCCACAACCCTCACACCAAAAATCCCTGAGGATGCACTCAAGGGGGCTCCTGGATGAGTGTATGTTCATTCCCCTAGGACTGAATCTACGCATTAGAACCGCTCTCTCTTGGCCTCCTCCAACTCCACCAAAAGTTGTAATTCCACATGAGGAACTGCAGTGTTTAGTTCTGGGTGGCTGAGTAAGTGGTTCTGGGAGCTATCACAGCAACATCCTCAGTGACAGTAGGAACCCACTCTGAATCTGTCTATACCACACTTGGTCCCCTCTGGACTGCCCAGAGCTGCTTCGGAAAGGAGTCAGAATCTCCTCTGGAGAAGCAAAGCAAGCAACTGGCTTGTTCATTACTCCTCTGTGATTTCAAAGCAGAGCCAATAACCCAACTCCTCCTAACACTGCTTTATTCTTAAAGATATTAATACATAGTGTTTTTCTCTTTCAAGAAGTGTTTGGTTTATGGTAAGGATGCCAAACTTAATGCATACATGGGCTTGGCTGGTAAGGTAAAACTGTGAGTCCCCAGATGAGGACTAGTCCCTATTATAGCCCATTTCATCATGGGGGTAAATAAAACTCATTGGTGGCTGTGGGATGGTGACCAAAGGTCACAGTTTACGCACCTGGCTTATAAAAAAGGAGGTTCTCTCCATGAGAGGGTAATGATCAGAGAAGGTATCTTCTAGTTTGAATGGCCCTATGGAAGGGCAAAACCTATCCCACAACCTCATCACTCTGAACCTGCCCTTCCTTTCATCAATTCTGTCCATGAGAAATACAAATGCATGGAGTGATAGGTGTGGATAAAAATCATGGAGATGTGCATAGAGGTGAGGAAAACAAGAATGGTCACTCCTAAAGCTCCCAGCAGAGGAGAAGGTTTGAAACAATCAACTTTTTAGGTGAAAGGAACGGAGGTGGAGGTGAAACACGGGGCACACAGCTGTCAGATGAACAGGTAATATTTCTTCTGATCACTCCACATCTCCCCACTGGTCTCTACTCACAGGCCTGAGGGCAACAGCAGGAATCCGGGCAGCATGGGCAGCGGACATAACAGCAGCAACTGTGAGGGCAGCACTGGCACCAGCAGATCCCCACCAGGACAAAGAAGAGGAAAACTCCCAGGATCACCAGGCCGACAAACACCCACTCTGGAAGGAGGCACAAAGAAATCCACACTCAAGGTGACCCACCTTCAGGACTGGGCACACTCTGTCTCCCTTGAAAGGAGATGAGTTAGGGGGACCTGGGAGGAAAGCATGTCCAAACAGAAAGCAGAGCCCCCAAACTCAAGAGGGACTCTGAGAGTGTGAAGTGCTGGGATGTGGAAAAAGGGAAGGTTACCGATATCTACAAGGTACACAGAATGACCAGCACACAGTGATGGGGGATTTCAAGGTCCTTTAGTGGGAAAAGGGTTTATCAAATTGACTGTAGTGTCAGAATAAGGGTGGGACAAGAGCAGGAACATGCCTGGCTGTGGGGACAAGGAACCTTACCCTGTGGTGGGTTCTGTGAATGCCTATCCTTTATAGTCAAGTTCATAATATTTATAAAAGTATAAATCCTGGTCAGGACAGTGATACACACCTATAATCTCAGCACTCAGGAGGCCAAGGCAGGATGACCGTGTTTTCAAGGCCACCCTGACTACATACCAAGTTCTAGGCCAGCCTGAGCTACATAATGAGACCCTGTCTCAAAATACCAAAAAATAAAAGTAAAAATCCTGAACAAAAAATGGCCTCTATGTCTACATGGCATAAATGCAGACCACCTTTGGGTGGTCCAGGCTCTGTATGCATTCATCTGTTTTCCCTGCTGGTCACCCAAGGATATCTTTCCTGTATTCAACAACAGGACTGAAATCCAAACCTTTTATTGATACCTGGGCAACAGAAAACTAGAGACATAGTCTC